TACTTCTCAGTCGATGATCCAAGTGCTACTATACGCGCATTGATGCTTGCAAAATGCAAGGATATCACAGTTCTCAAACAGTACATTTTTGATAGGACGTCTGAAGTTAGAATTGCTGTTCTGGAGGCCTTGAACCAAATCGCACTTGATGAAGCAGCGCAGAATGCTTTGTTGCCATCTCTCCTGCATTTAATTAATGATACTTCCGTTAAGGTTAGATCACTTTTTTGTAGAATTTTAAAGAAATTTTCAGATATTGACAGCTCCTATGTTTTAAGGATGTTTGATAAAGAAAAGGAGGGTACATTCATTTATGCTGCTGAGGATGAATCATTAGAAATTAGAACAGAATTGGTGTCGTTGTTTGAGTGTTTGATTAGAAAAGATACCGCTTCTGAAGTATTTAAGTTTGTCGTTGACATGCTAAATGATGATTCTCTTGATCTTAGAATTAAGTGCATGAAACTTTTGAGTAAAATTTCAAAAAATTTTCGTATCAAAAAAGAAACGTCTGATCTTTTCTGGTTGGTACTCTCAACTCGAGAACAGAACGTAAAAATGAACAAGTACCTTGTCCAGGTTCTCTCAAACATCTACTTTACTGATATTTTAGGTGTTGTGTCGTTCTTCAAAGAGATTATTTTTAAATACTTTGAGAACAGGAGTGTGATGAGCATTCTCAAAAAGATTGTTGGACGGAACAGCAAGCTATTCCTAAAAAAGATGTTTGATGAAAGTAAAGATGCACTCTGTGCTCCAATTAGCACGCTAGATCATGCAAGCGTCCAAAAGACATAAGGGCGTACACTCAAGTGATGATTGTGAAAGTGCTAAAAGAAGCACGGTAGATGATTTGTTTGTATTCTCATCTTCTGAGCAGCGAGCCAATTACAAAGTCGAGTATCTTTGTGATCTTTTAATATTACATGAAGTTAGTAAAATTAAAAGCATTAAACTGAGTGATAAAATCAGAAAAGACATGCTAGCACTTCAGTTGATTATGAAAAGGCCGGGAATAAGTAAGTCGGAGGAGCTTTTCAACATACTTAAACTATTAGAAGAATGTTGTGGTGCAAAAGCTGATATTTTTGAGGGGGTTTCTAACGGTCTCAAGACAATAAGAACAGTGTCAAGCGTTGGTAAATTCTTAAAAGACTATTTTTTAAATTTTATAAACGATGATGTCAAAAATATCCTTTTAATTCCATACAAGTTCAAATTTGACAGGATGAAATTTGAAAGAATGCTCAAAATCCATTGCATTAACTTTGAAGAAGTGGACTTTAACTCCATTATTGCATTTATAAAAGAAATATTGAAAGTGTTTATAAAGCACCCACAGTATGCAAATATAAGGGAATGCACACTCACAGTACATCAGAAAGGGAACTCCTCACTCCAGGACTTTCCTGTCGAACTGTGGATCGAAGTGCAATGCACTAAAATATACAAAGAAATGAAAATAGTTCTACAGTCAGACAATGATTACCTTCTATTTGATGTAAAGAAGAAGACAAAGATAACTGTGGACTGTAAAGATGGTGGGTTTAAGTGTTATATCGGAGTATTGATTGGAAAAGACATTTTAAAGCTTACACCAGAGAGTGAGAGCTTATACTAGCAATAGCAAATAGACAGACAGTTCAATTTGTGAGTATTAATGATATAAATATGATTTATTAAGGTGGTTGTTGATGGCTTTTTATAAAGATTCTGGTAAGACCTACAATCTTATCAGAATCTTTTTTCTATAACAACGTAAATAACAATCATTATGTCAAACTTTATAAGACTAAAGTATATTTTTATTTTCAATTAACATTGTGTCTTGCCTGCACTCTTTAAATTAAACAAGGTTTTTTGATAAAAATTTACTTACTTGCTTGATACTGCCTCAGATAGAATAGAGTACAAATCCTTAATAAAGGTTGACTTCTCCTCAAGTGTAAATCCACTTCCCACAAGTGCTGCATTGTAAAGGAAGTTCACATAGGTTGAGAACTGCTCCATCTTATCCTCATCGAAAATCCTCTTCAATTGCTTAATAACTGGTGAATCGATGTTGATTTCAAATATTTTCTTGGACTTAAGCATCATCATTAGCATTGGATTGTTCTCAAATCCAGGCTGAGCTTTGATGATATTTTCCATTGTACTTGAATTTCCATATTTTGTAGTCAAAATAGACGCAGGGACACCAACAAATCTATTTGAAATTTCAACCCTCTCAACCTTTTCCTTAATAAGATCTTTGATCTTTTCAGTGAATGGCTCGTATTCCTTCTTGGTCTCTTCATCAATTGGTGTAATTGAATCTACACCCTCAATGCTGATGTTCTGAAGATCAAGTCCTTTATACTTCTTAAGACCCTGAAGCATAATCTCATCCACGGCTTCTGGCATAAGCAGAACAAGCCTGTCCTTAAATCCTTCAAGACACAAGGATGTTTCAACATCCTTCTTGGTAAGACCTGTGAGGAAGAGTATCTGTTTCTGACCCTCAGAAACCTTGCTGAGATATTCATCGAAACTGATCAATTTCTCATTATCCTGATTGGTGGGATATCTAAGGAACTTGGCAAATGTTTCTTGCTGAGTGTCAGTGTACTGTTTAATCGCTAATTTGATATTAGACGCAAACTCCTTGTAAAATGCGTTGTACTTTTCCTCATCCTTTTCCAATTTTTTAATCATCTCTGAGATGCATTTGGGAAGCTTAGTTTTCAGCATATTCATAACTGCCTTGCCCTGAAGGAATTCCCTAGAGATATTCATAGGAAAGTCAGGAGAGGACACAGTGCCTACAACCATATTCATCCAGTCAGGAACAACCTCCTTTGGAAGATCATCAGTAACAAATACATTGGAATTGAAGACCTTAATGTTCTTATTCTTCTCATTGTTCTGTTCAAAGAAATTAAACCTTGCTCTCTTTGGGATGAAAAGGATTATTTTCAAATCAATAACACCTTCAAAATGCCAAGACTGCACTGCCGCATAGTCATCATAGTCATTTGAAATAGTCCTATAAAACTTATTTAGTTCTTCCTCAGGTATTTCTTCGACTTTCTTAGTCCAAATTGGTACATCATTATTGACTATTTGCTCCTCAACAACTTTCTTAATCTTCTTGGGTGGTGCTTCTGATTCTATTTTAGGCTCTGCATCCTCCTTGACTTCCTCTACTGTATCCTTTGCCTCTTCCTCGTCCTTTTCTTCTTCTTCCTTTTCAACAAAGACTGCAATGGGATATCTAATATAAAGACTATGTTTCTTGATTAAATTAATCAGTCTGGTAGATTCAAGATACTCCTTCTCTCCTTCCTTTAATGTCAAAATGACAGATGTGCCATGCTCCAGATCGCCAGTATCATACTTGCAAATTGAATAGGAATTCCCTCCAGTTGATGTCCACAAATACCCATCATCCATTGGATTCTTAGTAATAACATCAACCTTGTCAGCAACCAAAAATGCAGAGTAGAATCCAAGTCCAAATTGCCCTATCAATGTCTCAAGATCAGACTTTTGATTCTGAGAATTAAGAATTTCTTTAAATTTCTTAGTACCTGAAGATGCAATAGATCCCAAAAAGGCAATTAGATCATTCTTGGTCATACCAACACCATTATCCTTGATGACCAATGTATTATTGTTCTTATTAGGAATAATCTGGATCTTATATGCACCTATTGGGCAAGTAGCATATCCCTTGGAATCAAGATCTGTCTTCATGGTTTTAACCTTTGAAATAGCATCAGAAGCATTTGAAATGAGCTCTCTCAGGAACATTTCCTTTGAGGAATATACACTGTTGATTATGAGCGACATAACCTGTGGCACCTCTGCCTCAAAGTCATATGTTTCCACATTCTCCTTTACTGGAGTGACATCTATATTTGACAAATTTTCAGCAATGTTCTCAACTTCGCTCTTGCTTGCCATGGTATGACGGTGTGGCAAATTTTTATGCAAAAAAAATTCTAGAAAATTCTAGAGATGAAAGAAAAAAGTTCTAGAAAGTAGTTTAATAAAAATTAAAATAATACAAGCTGGGACTTTATGATAAATAGGAAATATATCAAATAAAAGGCTGCTTTGCATGTTGACATATTCCATTGAAATCTACCATTTTATTTAATATTTTCCTTTTCTTCTTGGGTATTCGATTTTATAAAACTTTTAAATGATTCAACACTTTGACTGTACGTTTCAAATATTTTAATATTTGATACTATCCAGGAAGGTAGCCCACTTTGATATCTTTTCTCACCATATCTGCTATCGATCAGAAACACTGATCCCCAGTCATTAGAGTGTCGAATCGATCTACCCAGTGCCTGGTTCAGTGCCCTGAATGCCTGTGCCTCGTACCATAGTCTTCCATTATATCCACTCGTCTTGTCGTTATATTCCTTCTTCAGTCCGATCTGAGGATCCCTTATGGAGGGATAAGGTATTCCTATGGCTACCACAGCCCTGGAATATTCATCTCTAAAATCAACACCCTCAGATGCTTTTCCTCTATATACGCATATGAATATAGATGTCGCCTTCTTCTGTATCCTTTGTTTATATGCCTCTATTGCTTTTTCAAACTCAACCATCCCGCCATCTTTTGGTTCCACAATGGCACCTGAAATACGGCCAGCTAGTTTATTTAAGAAAGAATAGCTAGGCACAAATACCAAAGTACCTCCTTCATTCTTAACATGCAAGGCAATATCAACTACTATCTTAGATACCTGGTCTAGATACGCCACTGTCTCTGCCGTACTGTAGGTACCACATAGATCCTGCTTTAAATGGCCTTTTCTTATACTAGCCACGAATACCTGTTCAGTTCGAATGATGTGTGGTGCAACCAGTTTATGCTGGAACTGAAATTTCAATTCACTACAAAACGAGGAAAATGGAGTGAGTGTGCCTGAAAGAAGAGAAATAGATTTTATTTTAGAAACTAGTGGGAGGAACATTACAGAAGGGTCAAGTAACCAAAGATTATATGAATAGCCCTCATCCTTGTACTTAGTAAAACAATAGGCGTATGCCTCGCTTCCTGTAAAAAGTACCATTCCAAGTATTCTTTCCATTTCCTGTAAGAATCTGGATGTATTTAAGCTTAAAAGACTCTTTGCATCTTCATTTTTCATTATTGCCTGCAATGAGTTTTTATAAGACAGAAAAGCCTCCTTTCCCACCCCCATTTTGTCTAGCTCTTCTATTACCTCCTTGCCTTTTCTTATTTTCATTTGATTTTCCTTTCCTTTTACATCAAACTCGTTTGTCTGGGAGTGGTCTTTTAGTTTTCTAAAGATGTCCATTAAACTCAAGAATTCTCCTCTCACTTCTCCAAGCAATGCACTTCTCTTTATTGCTCCTATTAATTCGTTTATGACTATTTCTATTAATTTAGACGTTATTTCAACTGATCCTGCAGATCTGCAGCAATCTTCTATGTTATGTGCTTCATCAATAATAAGGATTGCATTATCTAGCTTTATTTCTGAAGATTCTCTGACACTTGTGTCTATCAAATAGTTGTATGGTGCAAAAATTATATCTGCATCCTCCTGCAGTTCCCTGGCTGTAAAGTATGGGCATCCTGCACACTTTTTGCCTTCCCTTTTCAACTCTTCAATATCAAATATTTTTTCCCCAATTCTTTTGATTAGTCTATCCTTTCCATTGAAATACACACATGCTTTTTTCTTGATTAATTCTGCACAGGCTGTATTCTTGTCTTCAACCTTCGACAAAGTTGAATTTATGCAGTACTGGTTCTTAGACCCTAAGACTGTTATCCTTGGTCTATAGATTGTCTTCCTAAGTTGATCTATCAACTGATCTATTTGTTTGTGTGTTCGGCTGCAAATAAATATTTTAAACGGCTTGTTCTGCTCATTAAATCTTCTTTTTTCCTGCTCATAAAAGGCTAGTACACTACAAAGAATAGATAGTGATTTTCCAGTTCCTGTTGGGCTTTCAATTAAAGCGTTAGTATTCGTTTGGAAGCATTCTATGAGCTTCGATATTGTCACAAGCTGTGGTGGATATGGCTCATATGGTATTTCAACTGGAATACCATTGAACTTTGTTCTAACCATTGCGGTAAAATTTTTCTATTTTAGAAACATCCCC